TGTTGTTGTTGTTGTTGTTGATATTGTTGTTGAGCTGGTGCCAGCGTTTGGGGAGTTTGAGAGCCCCCTTGGGACTGGGGTAGCTGTTGAGGTTGCTGTTGGGGCCGGAGCGGTTGTAAAGGCTGCTGGTGTTGCTGCGGGTGTTGCTGCGAGTGTTGTTGCTGTTGCGGATGTTGTTGAGTGTTTGCTTGATGGTGTTGTTGCAGGTGTTGCTGCAACTGTTGTTGGTGTAGCGGCTGAGGTTGCGGTTGAGGCTTCAACGCCGGCTGCAGAGACTGAGGAGCGGGTGCCGGTTGAATCTGGGGCAGGTTGCTGACCTGATGCGCCGAGTGGTCCGTGGGCTCAGTCTTGACCATTGGTGAGATCGGGACTGGAGCATGAGCCCCAGGCTGGTTTGTCGACGCTTGTGTGGGTGCGGGCGTGGGCGTCCCATTCATATGACCAGTCCCTGGCCCAGGAGTTGCGGTGTGAGCACGAGCAGGAGAGGGCGCAATCGGACTGCCGGCAACTGGATGGTGGTTGGTATGTAGACCACCCAGCGTCAAGATGCCTGCCAACCGTGCTTGTTCATCCTCCGCATTCAGGCGTGCCTTTTCCTCGGCCTCCTTACGAGCAGCTTGTCCGGGCGCCCGAGTCTTCAGCTCACCCGTGACACTCTGCAAATAGTACGGCATCTCGGAGTTTGTCTTCAAAAAGAACAGCTTGAGATTCCTTGCTTTGTCCTTGAGCTGGACCTGCGTGCGATCCTTAAGAATGTCTGAAACGGACCCATGCGCCCCAAAGAGTGACAGAATCTGACTCCAATGAGGCCCCTTCACCATGTCGAGACCCATCATGAGAGCCTTTTCCTCGTCGGGGGTCCATGGTCGGCGAGTGGAATGGAGTCCCTCCCTCCTAGTCGTGCTCGAGGACTTTGCGACAGCGGCCTGCCTTGCCTTTTCGTATAAAACCGAGGTGGGACAGGACTGATTGGGCGGCAGAGTCTCCCCCGTTGCCCCCATTCCGACATTAGAAGACGTTGCTTGGGGGTATTGATGATATGTCGCTGTTTGTAGCTGATTGATGTTGTGGTATTGAGGATGTACTATCACATCAAAGTTAGTTTTGGGGTCCGTCAAAATGGTGTGCTCTGCCTTACCTTGGCCCTGGTTCTCCCGCATGGTATCTTCATAGGATTTCTGTGGGACGTTTGACAGTCCGTGAACCGGTGTCTCGAGATTATCGTTTAGCTTTTCAGCAATGAGGGATGCCAGATCCTTTGTGTCGAAAAGCCCGCCTGATTCACCCTGCCCGTTGTGCTCCAGAAGCCCATCTTTGATTCCGTTAATATGATCAGGAAGAGATTGCTCGATAAGTTTACTTAGATCGAAAGTCTCGTCAACCGATACGGACGCCTCGTTGTTGTGATTTCCCGTATGGAAGTCTTTAAGCTCGCCGTTCTCGACAATCTTGGACTGCAAAAGGGCGGCCAAGTCGACGTGCTCGTCCTGAACGTTGCTGTCGTTTTGACTTGGGCCTGATACAATCGGCTCCTCGCTGATCGGGATCTTGACCCCATATTCCTCGGCGTACTCAACTACTACTCCAATGTGGCTTTGCAGGAAGGTACAGAGAGCCTGGAGAAACGTATCAGGCGGGTACTTGCTCTCCAGAGATTCTTTCACAGGTCAGCATCACGTTAACTGGCAAGGCATGAGTTCAAACATACCTTTGGGCTGTTCATTGTTGTTGGCGACTGTGGACAGAAGCTCCCTCCGTTCCTTGACCTTCACGGCAAGTTGATCCGCATCAGTGTCTGTGACGACATCGAGATTTCGTTGCTTGAGCCAATCTTCGAAGTTATCTGGGAAGAACTTTCCGAGTTGTTCTGTGATCTGCTGATGAGTCGCTTGCTCGTCCAAGGAATCCAAGAACGCCCTAGTTTTGAGGCTAAGGAATAGGTCGGTCAAAGTGTCCTTAAACTCGCCATCTTCCGGTACAAAGATAGAGAAGAAAGAGTCGTCCATATCTTTGCAAGCAACATCATGTGCACCGAAGACACTGATGGCCGTCGTAGCTAGGTTTGCAACCCGAATCGTCTCGCGGTCTTCTGAGTCGTTGATTTCCAGCTCGTCTGGGAGAAGCACAGGGCTGTCTGAGAAAGCCCTTCTGGCTAACTTGAACGATTCTGTCAACAAGTCATAGTGTTTTCGAAACTCAGCATCAGCTTCGGAAAGAAGTGATAATGTTTCGTCCCATGTTTGTTGTGATAGTCGGAGCAGGATCTGAACAGCCAGGTTTCCGAGCACTGGAAGACTCATTGAACGGATCATGTAGGCCGAATTGGACGAGGCCTTCATAAGCTTATCCCCACCTTTCTCGGGCATCGGTGTGACTGTAGCAGACAGGGAGACGGCGGCTGCTAGAGGAGGAGCCGAGCCGGACCCGGATGGGTTTTCGAGCGAGCTATCGTTGCCAACTTGGCTGTGTTGTTTCTCGAAATCGCCAAGCGCAGTTGCGAGGGCTGCCTTGATATCAAACGGTACGTCCTGGTCCATCCCATCAACGTGTTCAAGCTTGGGGCGTTTGCCATTTGCGTCTTGTTCGGGATCGAGGCTACGAGCCCGTTTCGAAGATTCTCCCAGGGCGGGAGACGCCTGGGGAGGCACGTTGGAAGCTGCATGAGGGTTCGGCTGGGGCGGCGGGGCTTGTACGAGCGGTTGAGGCACGGACGCAGCGGTCGTCGAGGGCTGTTGAGGCTGGTGGATCGAGGGCGTCTGATAAGACGGGGGATTCGAGCTTTCTAGAGCCTGCTGAAGAGCATTGCTGAGAGACGAGGCTTGTGACAATTGCTGCTGGGGCGGCGGGATTGTCTGACTTGGGGGTCCTTGAGACGTCTGTACGGGGTGGTTCAGTGTTGGCTGCTGTGGTTGGGATTGTTGCTGCACTGGTTGAGGAGGGGGAGGAGGAGCAGCATCATGGGTCGGTATCGACGGCGGTGTCGGCGTGGGAACGGGAGCTGGAGCCGGAGCGGGAGTCGGAGCTGGAGCCGGGCTCTTGGCCTCTTCGGTATGCGTGCTCAGGGCTGCCAGGAGATTAGCCTCAAAAGTGGAAGCCGCTGACAAGTTGGGATCGGCCATAATGAAGCAGAAGGGGGCCGCGACCCATTGAATGTGATGACGGAACGGCGGTCGATGAGAGAGACTCTGGCCCTTGTTGCAAGGGAGCAGCGGCCTCCTGAGCCGTCGGCCGGGACAATCAGCGGCCGCGAGAAGAAATCGAGTCAATCGAGTTAAATGGTACACGTGAAGATGCTACGGTATAACGAGATGGGTCAACCGGACAGACGGTCGGTCGGTCGTGGATCGGCGTTGCTTGCTGGCCGTTGAGGTGTTCGGACATGGATTGGAGGAGCTGCTCGGAGAAAAATTTTGCCCTTATTTCTAGCCCCAACGGGTTGATACACAACGTCCAGGCATGCTGGCAAATTTTGGAAGGCGCGTCAAAAATGCTGACCGATGGGTGGCACTTGCAGTTGGAGAAGACATTTGGCTGCAACAAACAGACGCCATCTGTACAGACCAAACCTGAAGCTCAAGAAGGTACTTTAGACCTCGCTTGTCAAGCTGAGCTGGAAAGAGATGGAAAGTACCGCCCGATTTCACCATCGACTCTTTCCCTGACAGCTGTCTCGCTGGTCGTGATGCAGTCGAGCGAGGAGTCGCTCCTTCTGCACTGAACTGAGTGCCGACATTAGGTGTTGGGTGTTGCGGTACCTAAGCAGCTGTTAGCAGTTATGAGTGTTAGCGCGGCAGGAAACTGTTAGGCTGGTGTTAGCCAGTGCTCCAACAAGACGCTGGCCCCACTGCGTAATCGTGCATGCTGTTGATGCCCCCTGCCGGTGGCCGTTGAGGTTCACGCTTCACTCTCCAGTGGCTTGGTTGCACTTTCTGTCGACGAAAGTCAAAGACCTGAACATTCAACGCAGCAAAAGTCAGCCATGGACGCTTGTCATGTGAACGCGTGCCTCACTACCTAGTCCGATGACAAAGCATGTTGTTCTTTCCAAACACCGAGACACTCAACTCGTTGGTCCAGTAGGAAGCAACCAATTTGCAGAAACAACACACCCCGCAAACAGGTAATACCGGTCATCGATGGTGAACGCATGTTTCTTATGTCTACGTCCAGATGTAATACAACGTGTTGGCCTGTGTTTCTTCTTGGTATGATACCTTTCCTTGGAAACATGAGACGCACGAACCGTACTCTAACCTATACCACGTTGTAGGCAAATAAAAAGGTGAAGCCTTCCGAATATTCGTAACCACGGGTGACTTTGGCGTTGCCGTACCGCAGTCTTTCAATCTGGCTGGAGGGTTTTGGGTTGCTTTCTACCATAGCCCATCAGACATCTAGAACGAGATCCCACCCATATGGTTCGATGGCGGGTCGCCTTTTAAGCTTTCTTCCCATTTACTTGGGCTGCATTATAGGGCCTGGGGGCTCGCGGGTTGGGGATGGCCTCGTGTCATAGGAGGTCTATATGCACAATTATGACCGTGATAGGTTAGACATAGTTAACACTGGCTGGTAGACATGGCGTCCGGATTTGGCAGCGCCATGCCGCACATGGCCCCCATGCTCCGGAGAGAGGGAAGGATCTCGGAGAGCCGGAAGTGATGACGCCTCGTAGCTGCATATGTGCCCGTTCGTGGGCAAGAGCGCCATATCCGAAGTATCGCCGTCAAGGCAGGATTTGAACTTCAGCTGGCATGGGTTTGGGTATTTTATTGAGGTTGGTGTTGTCATGTTGCTGGGGTTCAAGGTCTGCGGTTTTGGTTCAGAAAAAGAAGAGTCCACAGCGGCATCGCACATGGTCAACACTCTCCACCCCCTGAACAAGGCGTCTCGCTGAACATTAACCCGAGCGTTGGTCACTCCGGTTTCAGGAACTCCAACGACGCTCCTGTTCTTAGGTCACATGCCGGAAAAGATTGAAGTCGCCTGTGTTAGACCATCGGTGTCCTTTATATGAGTTAGAGTGATATGGAAGAATGTTTTCCAAGAGAGAAACCCCTTGAAGACCGTGGTGGTTGGGAGCACGAGGATTGGATGCTGATGGCATGGGATGGATTGCGATTCTGAGATGAGGGGCGAACGGGTGGAACAGGGGGTGGACTTTGGAGAGTTCGAGGCCTGAAGAGAATGCGGGGTAAGCGCTGCATTATGACATGCAATGGCGCTGTTGTAGCCGCCAACTGTTCGTCTCTCATGTCTCCTTTTCGTTCCTTCTTTTCCTTTCTTTGAGGAACCTGTCCAATGTGCATGAACCCCTTCATCCGATCGATACACATTTGCGGTCAATAATCGTTGATGGTCGAGAAGAGAGGCCCCTTATACAGATGAGATCTGTGATTGGCTGCGCTCTGGCTCGGCTTAACTGAGGAAAGCATTGACCACCCGCGGGGTGATCCTGGAGCGGACTTTAAGCTTACTGGCTGGCCCCCTTTTCCTCCTTGAGAATGCGGGGGAGGCTCGCGGGGAAAATGATAGGGGACTGGGGAACAGAAGGGGACATGGCGACGACGGCAACAATGACACTCGCGGCCATCGACGCCGATCCAACCACTGCTTGGTAATCCCACCACAACAATGTGGCAATGGGCAACCTGTTCACCCTCCCACGTTTGACAGGACAAGTTGTCCGTTGTCAGCAAACTGAGAAGTACACTACCTCTACCGCTGCCATCTGTAGCCTGTTTTGCTGTATGGGCAGGTGGTAGTGTTGAGTGAAAGGTAAGGATGGAACCCGATGAACGACGACTCGGAGTAGGACAGCCAATATCTCCGAAGTATTTAGTAGAGAGGAGGAGGAGGAGGAGGAGGAGGAGCACTTGGTCACACCCACCCAGAACCATTTCCTGACTGGTTTCAACCGTCAGCCGCCCACACTAACGTCGCCCGGCACCTACCATGACCCCGCTCCGTGTTGCGGTCATCCTCCAGAACGCCCGCAATCTCACGATCCACCCCGACTGCCAAGAGAGACGACGGTACTTGGAGGGGAACGCCCAGAAACTAGTCTCCGAGTCTACTGCGCCTGCTCCGACTACTTCAACCTCCTTCCCCCGCCACCTTGTCGTGTTGGTTTTTATTTTCTCACTCCAGTTATCAACTCTTCCTTCTCTTTCGAAAAAATATCTAACCGGAACCCTCCCCAGAGTTTCGACTTCGTGTTCTGTTCAGCGTTGCTCTCTTCCCTCTTGTTGTCTCTTCTTTCCAAGATACCCCTTGTACCCCACTTCTGCATTAACTCCTGTCAAAATGTCTTCCAACGTTTTTGTTGAGCTCAAGACGCCGATTACCGGCCCCTTCAAACAACCCACCGGCTTGTAAGTTTCCAACCACATATATTTCCCTCTCGTCTCCCCCAAGCTCTCGAGAGCTAACCACAATATTCTACCAGGTTCATCAACAACGAGTTCGTCGAGGGTGTCGAGAAGAAGACCTTCGAGGTCATCAACCCCGCTACCGAGGAGGTCATCTGCTCCGTCCACGAGGCCACCGAGAAGGATGTCGATCTTGCTGTCACCGCCGCCCGCAAGGCTTTCGACGGTGTCTGGCGCGAGACCACTCCCCAGCAGCGTGGCATCTACCTCCTCAAGCTTGCCGACCTGATCGAGAAGAACCTCGACCTCCTCGCCGCCGTTGAGTCTCTCGACAATGGCAAGTCCATCACCATGGCCCGCGGCGATGTTGGCGCTGTCGTTGGCACCATCCGCTACTACGGCGGTTGGGCCGACAAGGTTGAGGGCAAGACCATCGATATCTCCCCCGACACCTTCCACTACACCAGGCAGGAGCCTCTCGGTGTTTGCGGTCAGATCATTCCCTGGAACTTCCCTCTCCTCATGCTTGCCTGGAAGATCGGCCCCGCTCTCGCTACCGGTAACACCATCGTCATGAAGACCGCTGAGCAGACGCCTCTTTCTGCTCTCGTCTTTGCTCAGTTCGTCAAGGAGGCCGGTTTCCCCCTGGCGTTCTCAACATCATCTCCGGTTTCGGCAGGGTTGCTGGTGCCGCCATCTCCTCCCACATGGACATCGACAAGGTTGCCTTCACTGGCTCTACCGTTGTCGGCCGCCAGATCATGAAGGCTGCCGCCGAGTCCAACCTGAAGAAGGTTACCCTCGAGCTTGGTGGCAAGTCCCCCAACATTATCTTCAACGATGCCGATATCGAGCAGGCCATTGACTGGGTCAACTTCGGTATCTACTTCAACCACGGCCAGACTTGCTGCGCCGGTTCTCGTGTCTACGTCCAGGAGGGTATCTACGACAAGTTCGTCGAGGCCTTCAAGAAGCGCGCCTCCGAGAACAAGGTCGGTGACCCCTTCCACGACGAGACCTTCCAGGGCCCCCAGGTCAGCCAGCTTCAGTATGACCGCATCATGGGCTACATCAAGGCCGGTCAGGAGGAGGGTGCTACTGTCGAGATTGGCGGCGAGCGCCACGGTGACAAGGGCTACTTCATCCAGCCCACCATCTTCACCAACGTCAAGCCTGACATGAAGATCATGAGGGAGGAGATCTTCGGCCCTGTCTGCGCTGTCGCCAAGTTCTCCACCGAAGATGAGGTTATCAAGCTCGGCAACGACTCCAACTACGGTCTTGCCGCCGCCGTCCACACCAAGGACCTCAACACTGCCATCCGCGTCAGCAACCACCTCAGAGCTGGTACTGTCTGGGTCAACTGCTGTGAGTATACCCACGTAAGGTCAGATGTAGTATTGTTTCGTCGTGCTAACCATCCTGTGCGCCAACAGACAACGCCCTTCACCACCAGCTTCCCTTCGGCGGTTACAAGGAGTCCGGTATCGGTCGCGAGCTCGGCGAGGCTGCTCTTGCCAACTACACCCAGTGCAAGTCCGTTGCTATCAAGCTCAACTAAGCAGTGGAATGGTAGCCGACTTCACAAACACAAAGAAAGTAAAACAAAACAAAAACATAATAATGACAGGAAGGATGGACAGCGACAGAAGCCGGGTCAGGTGTTATTTTTACCTGGTGTCAACGGAAAAGGGGACAAAACCTGGGGGCTAGGGTTGTACTTGACATCTATGATATCCCATATGAGAGCAATGAATTTGATGAAGACAAACCTATATCTCGCCGTGTTTGCTTGCTTGTTTTTCTCAAAAGAAAGAAAAGGCCCAAAAAAGAGGGTGGAAAGGTCTCGATCGCGAATCGAACAGGGGATGCAGAGTAACTGGAAGGGAGTGAACCCTATTAATGCATAGTCCGAAGACGCCAGCTACTAGATACTATCCCAGAGGTACCTTTCTCAGTACTTTGCCGCCGGAGAACGATTTATCTTGTGGGTACGGAGCACCGGCGGCTAGACACCCTGAGCGGTAGTCTTCCCCTGGACCTCACCCTGGGTGGCGGTGGGCAAAAGCTGCGCACCATGCCGCTCGACCACTGTCCCTTTCCTGGGGGTTGTTATATGCATGTCACAGAGGTTTGACTTAGGTACACGTCGCCCGCCTGGACCTATTAAGGTTGTTCATAATTTGAATTTCATTGTTGATTGATCACTCGACAGTTGTGAACGGCTTTGTGACTTGGCTGACGGGTATAAACCTCCCATTTCCCAAGTGTCCTCCAGGGACTTGACATCCAAACCAAACACACTCCTCTAACTACCTCTACCTAGTCTAGTAAATTTCGTCCGCCTGTGTCGTTTTGCCATTATGGTACCCAGCCCCATAGCCACGTATGGAAGCTATCCCATCACGGGATGCTCGTCGGTGCCTCTCCGCCCTTCAGCTAATTAGCATTGCCTCAAAAGCAGAGAGGACCAACAATGCATGGTGTACACTAGACGGCATCACTTCCTACCTAACCACCCGCTTTTGGACTGCCACATGGCTCCCTCTGAGCCTTCTTCAACTTCTTCCCCTCAAACTTCGCCTCACCATTGCCCTTATCTCCCTCTTCATCTCCAACCACCTCTCCGCCTCCTCCCCAAGACCCGCTTCCGACAGCGACCCGAACATTTTGCTAGCCGCTTTATACGTGTCATAATAAGTCTTGATGATGTTCTCAGCCGTGTCGAGGTCAGGAGCATCATTGAAGTTCTCTATAGCAGTATTTATGCCGATATATTCTATATGCAGGTCAAGCCAAGCTACAAGAGGTGTGCGACATAAGCGGTCAGTACATGTAAACCAACCCGTCATGTGTTTCTCCAAACATTTGTACTTCAAGTCTTGTTCAAAACATATCAAAACAGAAAGACGGACATGGAGTCATTTACGGTAGGTACGGTACTCACTCACCTTTCCCCCAGTGAACATCCTTATAGAACGCAAGTAACGTCGTGGTAGGAGCCTCTTGCGCCTTCTCAGGATGTTCCTTGAGAAAGTGTTCGATGTCTTTCAGGTTCTCCCAATCTTCTTTTTCCTCTTCGGCTTCGGTTTCGGTTTCGGTTTCGGCTTGGACTTGGGCTTGGGCATCTGCGGCTAGTGAATTATTGGGGGTCGCCAACTCTCGTTGTTACTTAATCCACTCAAATAGCATCTGGAGTCCTTGATGGAGATTTTCGCGCTTGCGAAGGATGGCGGTGATGGCCTCGATGTTGGTGGAGGGCAAGTCTGAAGGAGTGGGGATGGACGGGGTGGTAGATGACATGATTACTTAATGGACGAAGTTGGGGATGGCGAAGATAGAAGGTGGTAAGTGGCGAGTGGTAAGTGGTGCGGGATAGTGTGTGAGCACTGATGGGCTGAAAGTAGTATGTGGTCTGGTATTTGTAGTATCGAAGCTGATTGATGACTGTGAAAGTATGACTCTCTTTGGAGTTTGACTGGTTGTTTGTTGTTGAGGATGCTGTCAAGATGCTTGCTGTCTAATGCAGGGCAAGAGATCAGTTAGATCCAGCGTGGTTACTGGCCTTCTTCAAGCTCTTTGTTAATTTCACGCAGTGGGACAAGGACGTTGGGCTTATCCATGACGATATAATCTCGGGACTGTTCAAGCGTGTCCTTTTTTTGTGTTTCGTGTGACTTTTTAATGTTATTCCTTTGACCGGACTTATCCTCCGTGTTCTGGATGTTCAGGTTCACATTCTCTTCGATTTGGTTTTCAAGCTTCTCGGCCTCACCCCTGCGGTTGGGTTGGTCAGACATCGCGGCGGAGGTTTGATGCTTGAATATTCGGTTGAGTTGCTAGACGAATGGGCTTGGAGACCCGCAACCGTTGAGATTGTCGTAGAAAAACACTTGGTGGTTGCGTGATGAGTAATTGCGTTGAAGAGTTGCTGTCTCTGAGAATTGATGTCTTGAACCTAACAAGAGGAGTAGATGAACTCATCTTTATGCACCTCTTCCTAGACCACTCAAGCTATCAAAGTCACGGTGGCATGACCTCGTGAATAACCGTTGAACTCCCGTCATCGATTGAAGGAAGCCATCGCCGGTTGAAGCCATCATTAGAGTGAGCTCATCACGAGTCCATATCAATGAACACACGAGAGCAGGTGCGCTCGCTGTTGGGCATTGGGCAATTGTTCTTCTGAATTTCGATGGTAGCTGGAATGGCTTGTGCTAAAATTGGTGGTTATTCGGCTCCTTGGGTGGCCCAGTGCCTTTGTTCCAATGGCTCAAATGCGTCGGCTTCCTCGCCGGTTGACATGGCTGTTGTTGGCGCTGACAGAAACCACTTGAAGGTACCTGTAGGCATATGGTACCTGAGATTATTCATTGTCAGAATCGGGCGCGTATCGTGTAGAATGGTGTACCGTTTATTCAAGTTCCCTGCTGTTGGCGTTCAAGTCTTGGCCGGTCGGGGGTAATTGGGCGAAACACACGTCGGGAACAAACGTTTGATACCTCCAGAGAATCTGGAGCCTCCCTTTCTAACCCGAAATGGGCCACACAACACAGCTGACGCACGAAAACGACGTGGAGTTCATGGATGGAGTGTTTCGCTGATTGATGACAGCGATGACGATGACAGCTAGAGAGACGGTTCAGTGAGAGTGTCGAGTCAAACTTGCACGAAGACGCAGCTGCCAGGACGTCGGAAAGTGAAATGATCTGGGGCAGGTGCGATACCCATTGGGCCGGGGAGTCTATCCATAGAAAAATCAAACGGATCTTCAATCACATCCTCACGGTTCTCCTCCTTTCGCCGGTCCGTAAGCCACTCCTCTGCCTCAGTCTCAAGCTCTTCCTCAGCAATCTTCCTGTACATAGTGATGGTAGATATGAAAATATTGTATAATCTCTTCACATAATTTGGGTGCTTGAGATCGTCCTGGGGGATGGAGCGAGAAAAGTTCTTTAGAGCTACATACGACAGACGTGTGAGACACCACGCATGAAATTTCCTGGCGGAGGGAAGATTCTTACCATTCTTTAACTCATTCTGGAGAAGACCCAAAGAGCCTGCAATACCATTCTCCCATTTCCCATATTTCTCCAAGATGCAGGCTTGCAAGTCCTGCAACTTGAGACAATCAATGTTGGCCTGGTCTTTGACACCCGTGAGGTCCTACTTACCACCATCTTTGGTGGTTTGTTGCTGCTCGATTCCTTCGAAGCGGGCTTGGATCTTCTGGAACACGGCCAGAGCCTCTTCCATAGGCTTGGGGACGTTTGCTTCATCAACGGTGGAAGCATCGGTGGTAGCTTGCGCGTCGGACATGGTGACGGTATTGATTGAGCAACCGTGGAATAGGCCGTTGTTGCTAGGTGGGGATGATAACTACAGGGTAATGATGTTGGCTGGGAAGAATATATGCTTTTGGTGACAGGTACGAGTGTCTTGAGGTGCTTCTGTCAAGACCCAAACGAGGGGAGTCGATAAGCCCATATTTATACAAATACTCCCAGCTAAGCCGGGTAATAAGCGTGCAAAGAATTGTTGTTGGATTCCATCTCATCGCCGGTCGAAGCCATTGCCAGAACGAGCGCATGATCTCACTGAAGCAATGAAGACGGTGAGCGATGACATGATGTGTTGGGAATTGAAGTGATGTTGGTGCTGAAGGACGAAGTTGTTCTGTCAAGGTTCAAAGTCAGATGGTATGATACATCGTCACCCATATTTTTCAGGCTTGTTTATTTCTCGCGTCGAAGGAATGGAGGGGAGAACTTACAATTCAAGCAGAATTGAACAAATCTTAGCAGAAGCTTGGCAAAATCGGCATCTTGCGAGATGGCTGCATTTTGCTTGACCTTTTCTAGGATCTCCTCGATTTTAACACGGTTTGTTGCTGCTCGTTGCGGCTCGTTGGGTCGTCGAGGTCCTTTGTGTCAAACGACGATGAACGCACCTGCCGCACCGGTTTCCCCCGCCCGGTCAACATGTTGGGTCGGCTACGATCGCAGGAGCGCTGCATTGCATCATTCACGCAGGTACACTTGACGATGTGAACAGACTTGCGAGGACTTCAGCGATTGCTATTTTTAACTTGTTCTCTTTTTTTAGTCCACCTTATCTCATTCAACTGTCCGGCCTTACTTTTCACCGGTTCGCACCCAATCCTCGCGCGTCTGCTCCATCATCATTGTGGTAGGCCATTAGACTGCACCTGCCAGAATCATCAAGGGCCCAAGGGCCTCATCAACCTCGGGGCCTCACTTCTGACATTTCCTCCCGCGCCCGCGCCACCATAGTATGTCCCGGAATTTTTTCGACTATTTGGATCCTCAGTCAACTCCTTGACAGCCTTGTCTACTTCCTTTTCAACGTTCGAGATGGTTTCTGTGTAGGTTCCGAGGTATTCTCCCCATAAAACTGTGAAGGTGCTGGCGCTCTCTCCGTTGTCGATGAGTGGATGATATACTAGGGGGAAGATGATGGTTAGCATGGGGGTGCAGTAATCTTTGTTGCATTCGGGAATGGGGGTGTTGCTTTAACTGAGCTGAGCGCCAAGGCAGGGAGGCAGGGAGGCAGAGGCACAGGTTGGTTGGTTCCTCGTTCCTGGTAGGGGTGGGGGTAGAAGGAAGGTACCAGGGATGAGGACACTGCCTCTCCTTTTCTATTTTCTGTCAACAACTTTGATAATCTCATTTGACTGACGGTCAAAGCTATGGAGGTATTTAAGAATGGCAAGTTGATAAAGCTACGCCACATGATTTCTACAAGAGAGATCGAGTGTCCCCAACCAGTCTACTAACGATCTACCCCCACGCTTCCCAGCTTTTCGCGTGCCAAGACCCATCCGTACCTGCATCCCCTTCCACCCTGTGCGCCCTCTGCCCCTTCCATCACTCAAAGCACCTTCGCACCTCCCCATTTCCATATTCACTTCCCCTCCCCCGTCTTCACCACCCACCATCACCATCACTCGCACCTGCACTTGCACTCGCACTTCTGTTCAGAAAAACTCACCTCTCAAAACATCCCCAAACATCTTCTCACACAAACTAACCAGCTCCCCTTCCCACGCCAAACTCGGGTACTGCTCCACGGTTTTCCACGCCCTCCTCACCCTCTTTCTTGTTGCCTCCAGCTGCTCTCTCGACGCATGCACCGGATCTTTGCCAAACTTTTTCTCGGGAAACCGGAGGTCTTGGTACAGCTGGTCGGTCACTCTACAAACGCTTGACAAGACACCGAGCAGCACGCCTTGTTGGCGGGCGGTTTCGACTGCTGTTGGTTTGGAGGCTATCGTCGTGCTGCCTGACCCTGAGGAGACGCGGAAGGGGGGTAGGAGGGGGAGGGGTGAGGATGGGGGAGGATGGGCTGGTGGGGAGTTTAGAAGGGAGGGCGGGGTGGGGGAGTCGGGGCGGGCGCCACGACCGTGGGTTGGGGAGGACATCGTTAGTTGGTGAAGAGGGAGGGTGAGAAGAAAGGATACCTGAGTTGCTTTGACGTTAAGGTCTCCTTAAAGATCTGGAGTTGAGTGGTGGGGTGATAAAGCTCTCATGGCGAAGATTTGGCTGATCAGACGCATTTTAATACCGCTGGTAACACGATCGCCTAACTGATTGATTGCAACAGTGATGATTGACTTCACCAGTCATCTTGTGAGAGTCATCGATGCCAAACTTGCGTCTGGAGTCATGAACGGTCAAAGTGGGGTGACAGCTATAGGGTAGTTAATGGAGAGAAGAGCATGACTATTTCGATGCAACACGGGCTCTCCCTTTCAGCACATAAATTGGACAATCTGAATACAATGATAAAGTTTGCAAGAAGACCCCCACAAGCGAGAACAAGTGCGCGCTCGCGTGTACGACATCATGACCGGTCGGAGAAACATATCTTCTTCATACCACCATGAGTCTGGTTCATGAACGACAAAGATACCCAGAAGACCCAATGACCCACTACGCGCGAGAAATTGTGCTGTTGGTTTCAGCATCGCGGTAAACTCCGTAACTCCCAACCAACGTCGCTCGACCGGCGAATATCTACAAAGAATCGGCCTCCCTTCCAATACACATGAGAACAGCCAGCCTGGGACCAGTCCCATTCCTATACCGATCCAATCCCACCCATTGAGGCCAAATATCCCTAAAGCCCACCTATCTTCCCTTCCTGCAACTCCAGTCCATTTTCATCTCATCTTCGGTCCCAATTTGTTTTCATTCTCAACTTCAGCTCCCCTAACCCAGCGATATCCCACCCATTTACCGCAGCCCTTTCAGCCTCAATCCATCCCTGGCCATTCATCCTTCATCTCATCCACAATGTTATTCCCAATTACTATTTCCATCCGTAACTTCAATCGACGATCATCCATGACTATCCACCTCCATCCGCCGTCCGCCATCCCGCCATCCCGCCATCCGACATCCGACATCCGACATCCGACATCCGACATCCGACATCCACCACCTCACCTCCGTTCTACCATTCCGCACCGTGCCCGCCAAACCACCACATCCGCTACCATCCAATTATTCCCAAATCCTGCATATAAGCTTCCAAACCCATCTAAACAATCACATACGACCATACCCACTGGAAAACTCGGGATCCCGTCCGCTCTCCCATAGATAAGCCAGTGAGGGCCAGACTAGTAGTTGGGTCGGTGACGACCAGCGAATCCCTGGTGTTGTATGTTTTTTTCTTCTTTTTTCTCATTTCGTTCCCTTTCTTTTTCCTGCATCTCCTCCCCTTTTTCGCTCACTATCCTCTGCTTCAAACTCGCCTTTCTTTTTTTTTTTTTTTTTTTTTGTATTTATGTCTTTCATTCACTTGGTATTTGTGTTTTTTGGGTTGGAATGCTTTGGAAGGTGGTCGTTGTCGTGATGCAGAAAGACAGGGGTACGGAGATCCTTGGCGGTCCATTGCGCCCTGGCTCCTGGCAAGCCTGGGAGCATGACTGAAGGAAACGGGATTGGAAGTTGAATTGCGACGTGACCAGAAGATGTGGAAGTTGAATTGCGACGTGACCAGAAGATGTGGAAGTTGAAGTGGACGACATCCTGACTGCAACTGGGAGGCCTCTTGGACTTGATTGAGTATATACCCTGACCTTCAGTCACCGCTCAGTGCTTACCGGGAGCCGAGTCGTTTGGTTCAGTTGTGTTCCAATCTTTTCATCTGTCTACCTCCGTCATGTCATGCACCACCAAACTCGTCTAATTCGGATTTCGGTACGTCATCACCGTCTGGAAACGAACGACAGCCGTTTATCTAGTGGCTACCATAGTACCTATATCCAAGAGCAAATGCTCAAACTGACGACTCTAAAATGCTTCGACCCTTCGATCTCTACAACAAGACTGTCTTTGCAACCTTTCTCGAGCAATGGAGTATCAAGACCCAGGAAACCCAAGGAACTGAACGCTTCGAGCTCTACAACAAAACTGTCTTTGCAACCTCTGTCTCTAAAAAAATGGAATATGAAGACCCAAGAAAAAAAACATATCTTATCCCAAAAAAACCCGCACAAGTATACACATGTAGAACTTTATAATAACCTCTTCTTTTATTTCCCCCGCTTATCCAGAAAACTTGCACTGCTCACCAAAGAAGGTCTATGCAGAATCATCCCGCGCCTTCAACTCCTCATCTACTTGTTTCCTGACCAGCTCCCTCACTGCCATCCAGTCATTGGCCACATCGTTGACGCGCTTCTCCTTCTTGTCCAGACCGACAAACTCCTGCGGTAGCACCTTGGCCTCGAAGTCGAACCCGGCCTCGTCCTTGAGCGAAAGAGTGACGGCGCCCGAGAACTTGGCGGGGTGGGCTGTCGAGAGGGAAATGTGGGGGATGTTATCACCGGCGCGCTTGACCGACCTCCTGGCGGCTTCGACGCCGACGGCGGTGTGGGGGTCCAGTACGTAGCCGACCTCCTGGTACAGGCTCTTGATGGTGTCGAGGGTCTCCTCGTCGCTGACGCGCTCGGACTCGAAGTTGCGGCGCGCGCTCTCGAGAACGTCCTTGTAGACGGGACCGAAACCGCCCTTCTCCTTGAGATCCTTGAGCCAGGAGCTGACCTCCTGACCGGCCTGCTTCTTGTTCCACTCGTCGTCCATGCCGGCGCTGGAGGCGAACTGGTAGGCGAGGAACCACAGCAGGCGCTCAAAGTTGCTCGATACAAGGATGTCCATGGCGGGGCTCATGGTCTCCTTGACTCCATCCTCGTGCGCCTTGACGCCGTCCTCGGGAAGACCGCCCTCGGCCTTGGAGCTGCTGACGGGCTTCTTGGTGTAGCAGCCTGTCTTCCAGAAGCGGTCAAGGATATCGTTCTCGTTGGTGGCGATGACGAGCTTGTCGACGGGGAGACCCATGCGGAAAGCGAAGTAGCCGGCGAGGATGTCGCCGAAGTTGCCCGAGGGAACGACGAAGCGAACCTTGTCGCCAATGTTGAAGGATTCGGACTGACGGGCAAGGGAGAAGTAAGAGTAAAAGTAGTAGACAGTCTGAGCAAGGATACGGGCCCAGTTGATGGAGTTGACGGCGCCGAGCTTGTGGGTAGAGTTGATCTCGGGGTCGGCGAAGAGGGCCTTGACAATGTCCTGCAAGGGGCGGTTAGAGAATGCGACAAAGGGGCGCGAAAGAGCTGGACTTACTTGGCAGTTGTCGAAGTTGCCAGTGACGGCAAGGTTGTGGACGTTGGCATCGAGGACAGTGGTCATCTGGAGCTCCTGGACGGGGCTCACCTTGCCCTTGGGGTGAAGCATGAAGACGGAGACATCCTTCTTGCCGCGCAGACCGTAGATGGCGGCAGAACCGGTGTCACCGCTTGTCGCACCAACAACGGTCAAGTGGTACCTGTCCCTTCCCTCTTTGCCCTGGTTCTTGCGCACGAGGAAGTACTCAAAGAGGTTGCCGAGGAACTGGAGGGCGACATCCTTGAAGGCGAAGGTCGGGCCGTGGAACAGCTCAAGAAGGTGTATGCTGCCCTGGAGGTGGACGAGGGGAGTGACGTCGGGGGTGCGGAAGGTGGCGTAGGAGCGGTTGATGATGTCTTTGAGGTCTTCGGCGGGGATCTCTGAAGGGGAGATGTAGAGGGAGATGATGTTGTAGGCGAGGTCGGTGAAGGAGAGGTCCTTCCAGCTTTGCCATACGGACTCGGGCACGACAGGCACCTCTTCGGGGATGTAGAGACCGCCGTCGGAGGCGAGACCCTTGAGGACGACGTCTTCGAAGGAGAGCTAAGAATAAGATGTCAGCAACTGGCGACCACTCTTCACGTAGAAAGGGAGTAACATACACCGCTGTCCTCACCGCGCGTGCTCAAGTAGCGCTGGGAAGGGGTATGAGTTTGATCCTGGGATCCATTGCCGTTGGTCGCGACGCCGTTGGACATGGTGGGCAAATTGTTGGAGGATTGGGGGAGAAGGGTTGGTGTCGCAGTCGGATCTCGGATCCTAATTGCTGGGTATGGTGTTTAGGAACGGGTTTGTCGAGGAAAATGGAGGAATGAATGAGGGAGCAAATAATTGACGGCGGCCCCGGTTTCAGAGTCTTTGAGTGGCAGTTTCGACGATCGGCGGGCAGTCAAGAAATGAATCACTCTCGCCGAGCATCGGCCACCGGCCCGCCCTTAAAGGCGTATGGCAACATGGTGCCCGTGAGCCCCATTACTGAACTGGGGCAGGCACGGGCAGGCACCGCAGGCACCGCAAGCCCATGCATCGTCGGGGCGGATATGGAGGCGGAACACTGAAAATTTTGCCCCGCATCGGTTTCTTGGCCCACCCACCCCAAGACCATCCCGGCCGTCATGAGCCGTCCCATTTGCAACTGCCCGCCCCTGAGTCCCTGCTGAACCCATTTTAGTGCCCACCTCAGCATCCATTCAGTGCATCGCTAACGCCCAGCGCCACGGCGGTGCGGGGCAGCCGAATGAGATATCAGGGAACGTGAACGTCAACGTCTTGTCTGCTTCCACCTAGTGTAGAAAGCATTCTGACGGGGAGATGGGATTATCAAGAGGCGCTTGCCAACCGAGTTGAAGGGGAAAAAGAGCGAAAATTCCAACTTCAGCTCCATTGTTACAAGATCCAAGACGAATGACGCAGCGGTAGCAGGAACCTACTTTTACAAGCCACTGGGACATCATCACAAAATAGTTCCACTGTAGAAGGCCATTTGGGAGGCGCGTGATGTCCGCCTCGTGCCAATTGGGGCAATCTGTCAGCGGGTAGATGGCTTGTTCGGGGTTGGTGAGGAGCCAGGCATCCCGGACGAGTTTAAAATGATCAGCACCAGGCTTCATTTCATGTCCCGGTGCTGTCCCGTTGGGCAATGTGCATGTGACGTGCGCGGCTGGTCTGCATGTGCCGTTCCATGTTGTTGAGTTGAGATAGGTAGTGAGTTGAGTCTATGAATGTCGGCGCCAGAATAATGTCTTCTTTGTTCACCTTCCCCGAACAAGCAGCTGTTTACCTCGCTGTACTAGGTAGGTGTTGAACCATGGTCACACCATGCGGTAAAACAGTCGTTATCCGTTAAGATCAACAACGGGTGCTGGTGTCCTAACTCCTTATAAGACCATGATAGCGACGAGAGGGTGCGAGTCATGAGCCTGGGATCCTCATCTCATATCCACACATCAGGAAAGAAAGTCACGGCATTTTATCGGCCAGGGATATTGCGGACGATATTGAGCTCTCGTACCGCAGTGAACCTTGCGATGACAGGTTTGGAAGGAGTTTTCATTTTCTTTGAACCAGTTAACGAGAGGACCCGATGGAGAGATATGGAAAATGCCATATACAGTCTCGAGACAGTGTACTGTAGTGTATTCGATGGCCGACTTTTAGCTTTATCGGCGGTATAACTTTAAATTCATCGACGTGGGTCGGACATCCCCGCCGTAAGGGGTCCGGGTCCCCCGTCGTGGGCCAAAGCGGGGAACGTGGAACCTCCCGTAGCATTGGACGCGTGCTGCCGTGTGACCCGGAGTGGACCTGTGACTGCTGTTCTTGCAGTGTGGCGTTGTGTTCTGATGAATGAAATAAAAGACGGAGTGAAGAGATATGGCGCAATTGCTTCAGATCAAGGTGGAGGTTGGAACAAAGAGCACTGTGAGCTGTGGGAGAACTTTTTATCACTGGACTTGTCCCGGCCCTCTTATCACTACGCGGCAGGCAACCCGGAGAATGCAGTCCGTGCGACATGACTCCTGCTGGTGGCACTCGGAGCAGCGAGCTTCAACTGCCCAGGAAGATGTTGATGCGCCAACTGTGACTAGGTCGGTATGCTGACCTTTTTTTGGTAATCAGCTTTTTCTTTGGAGATACCCAGGGCACCTGTGAGGGTGGTTAGTGTCTCTCCTTGACCGACCTGTCCAGATGCTTCATGTCTTGGCACCATGCTACTGTATGCTGGAATTTATGGCAGGGGAAGGAAGCAGCGCCGGCGCAATCTTCACGAGGCAGGAACCCGACACTTCTGGCGACTCGCAGGCAGCGGTCTTTCTGCCGAAGTGGAAGCTCCTTCCCATTTGGATTTTCAACAACTGGACATCGTGAGTCAAGTGAAAATTTCTCTTGAATCGGATGATTTTTCTCGAATATGCCCCGTCCTCCTTCACCTTTCTTCCCACGAAGCAATCTTCAACTTCAGCAACAATTTGTCAACCGCGCGAGGGATCGCGATCAGCTCAATATATTGAATGGCATTTGAAGGACGATACACACTGCATAAGTCTCCATGCCATGACTCCCACTGGTTCCCCTCAGCATTCAGGTCGTCTATTCTAATCCTTCAGTAACCTTGTATTCCTACTGGTCCATCCCGACTTTGTGCCTCTGTGACATGGGCACCAACGCGCATGCAGGCACTAAAGAAGGAACGGAAAAAAAGCCAGCAAGAAGGGAGGCACATGGAGGAGCCGCCCGGGCATGTCATTGGACGACGCAGCGCGGGGTTCTGCACCTGTTCAACCACTGGAAGTGAGTGCCATCCCAACATCAGCTTTTGCATTTCATCATGGCTTCCTCTTTTTCTACCCTCTGCTCGTCTGGGCATGGCCATCAATCCCGTCACTGTCAATGTGTTGAGGAAGCCGTTTGAAGATTGTCAATTCTGCCTTGATACTTACTCTTGATGACAAGCAAGGCATCATTCCTTTTTCCCAGAGCTAGGGACTGTCCCAATGATGGCACACACGGGACGGAATGCTTCCTGTTTCACATTGGACCCCCATTGCTTGCTCTCTGCTTGCACTTGCACTTGCACTTGCACTCTGCAATATCAGTCCGACATGATGCACCGAGATGGCGCATTCTCGACGAATTCCAATTGCACAGGATGGAAGCCATTAAAAACACAAATCATATCAAGTCCAAAAGACCGAGAAGCAATCACAGCAATTCACAGACACAGCTTGCCGATCTAGTCCCTGCTCGCTACCACGCTCCCTGGGATACCCTGGCGACGCTCCATTCCGTTGGCGCCAACGCCCCCCCTCCACCACGCCCTAAACAGTCTTCCCCAATGTCCCCCTCCTCGTGACGAAGACCCTTCCAGACTGCTGGGAGCGGAACAGGGCAGGGCAGGGCAGTGGGCGAAGTGGGCTCTGGGGAAAGCTTTCACAGCCTTTGGATCATCATCTAAACCTCCATTGTCTTCATCACCAGCATCATGATTGTCATTCCTTTGAGACTTCAACGGGACGCGTTGTTTACATACCAAACACCGTTTATCCATCACGACATCCTACAACCACCGCACAGCAGCTCAATTCGGGTGTGATCGAACGGATACACGACAGGGTGGCCTTAACGCTCTCGTCCCACCCCGGAAGACACCGGTCTTGAAGCAGTTAGCAGCGGTGCGCCACGCTCATTAATAGCACACCACCATCCCGTCTTGAGCCCAGCAAACCCCATGTTCCTGCTCTGCTACAGGTTGCTCTACCTACATATTTTCGTCCCTTCAGGTTGCGTGCTGTTCTGCCTTTAGCCCATTCTAATCTTCTCTTTCCCCTCATTTATCAGTCTTCTATGCAAAGAATCATTTACACCAAAGCTCCAAAAAAACAGCGAGCCTTCGCGTCTGTCATCCTTCCCTATTCTTTTTTTGTCTCGGCTGTGCAGTGAATAATCCGACAAGTCTACCGCAATATCGCCAACTGACGCCATTGCCGTTGTCTTATCTGCCCCCTTCTCAACGCGAGCTGCCCGTGGTTTGGCTCTTCCCCCATACCGGGCTGTCATATAACAAGCAGGGATCTGCGATAAGCCTGTCACTCTTCCACTTACGGCCTCGACCCTTCTCCCTGCCCTGTCACCCCGTCTCTCTCCATCTCCCCCAACACCACCTTGGCTACACTACAACACTACCCCTACCCCCTCACCTCACCACCCTTTGGCACTTCACCCTCCCCTCACTCTCTTGCTTTCCTCTTCTCCAATTCGCCTGGGCCGTGAGCGTGCGCCCCCGGTTCCCTTCATTCCATTGACAACCTCCTCTCAATTGTCTTGGATCCTCCCGTCTCTGGCAGAAACATCTTTGTGCAACAAGAAACTTGACCACTATTCGCCTTTTGGCAACTCCCTTCTGTTTTGCCATCGACATGTCCCTATGATTCTCTCTTTACCATCCAACGACCTCGATTCATCACATTTGCCATCGCATCAACTGCCTTGTCGTTGGACGTCGACACGCGCGCACCCAAGTGAAGAACGATACAGCCCATATACACTATACACCATATACCATACACTAGAGGTAGCTATCACTGGACTCTACAACTAGTTCTAGCCCACTAGCTCCAGCCTAGCAGCATATATCATATCCACCACAACGCAGGAACAATGGCGACGATTGCCCTTCCACGCCCACTCGAGACCCATAGGTCCTCCTCCAACATTGGCTCCATCTCCTCCACCATCACCCTGGAGCCGACCACTCACTCGGCGCCCATCCCCAACAAACATATTCCCGTTTGTCCTCCAGGTCCTGCTTCCCAAGACGATGCTGATACGCCGCCGCCTTCGCCCTGGCCCGTGACGAATGACGCCGACGAGGACTCGTCTCCCCACTCGCTTCTCTACCCACCTCATCGCTTTCACCATGTCGACTCCGGCGATCTTTCGCTCTACAAGATCGACGCCGCCGACGTAGCTGCTGCCTTGGACTATCTTTCCAGGCAACCTTTGCCAGACCCTGCGCACGTCTTCCCCTGGTACCATGGCCTCCATCCCCAGAACCAAGTGCAACAGCAATTCTTCATCGCCCGCAAGCGTGCTCTGAGAAAGACCCCCGCTTGCCTCCGTGGTATCACCATTGTTAAGGCCGATGGAGACCTCAACACATCCCGCCTCAAAGGGGCAATTGCTCCTCAAGAGTTTCTTCACCAAGGCGGCGCCGAGTTCATCGATGTTGACCCCGTCGAGGGATTTTCCGTCCGCAACTTTCAGATCCAAACCGCCAAGGCCGCCATGACGAGCGATATCATTGTCTACGGCAATGATGAAGTGGCCGTCCGCAGGTTGGGCTGGGACATAGCCGCCGCCCAGCATAAGTGGCGCTACAAGCACGAGCTGCAGCGTCATCGAGTTCCCGAGTACAACACCTTTATCTGCCTCAGCCCATTCGACGTGTTTGAAAAGAACCATCGTGAGATTGTGGCAGTCGATTCAACTGGTAACTTGACGGGGAACGTACTGGACTTCATCAACCAGGAGAGACTGGAGATGTATCTCATGACGCACGCTTCAGAAATCGCACCCAACGTGTGGATGGGCCCTACCCCCGATCCAATCATTGAGGAGGACAATGGTTACCACGTTCAGATTGAGTGCAGTGACATGGGAAGAGCCAACACCTGTGCAGCTTTATTACAAGCTCTTGCTGAGGATGGGCTGGGCGATGTACCAGAAACAGTCCATTTTGACTTTCCTTCCTCGGGAAGCTTCCTAGTTCCGACATATTCACATGCGGAAGCAGACGCTCTTTTGGACACTTGCAAATGGATCTGGCATCTGTCCCACGGGACAAGGCCAGATAAGGCTTCCGACACCGGTAGAGAGAGGTCTCGGCCGCCACTAAGCCCACGAAAGATTCTTATTCACTGCGCGGACGGTTACACAGAATCCACAGTTCTAGGCCTTGCATACTACAGCTATAGCACCGGCCTACCTATCCCCGAAGCTTGGTTGAAGCTGCACACAATTATGAGACGAAACTTCTTCGCATACCCCTCCGACGTAAGCTTCCTAGCGGCGATCGCTCCCCGACTCCTACAGGAATCCCCCATTGGAGCCGACCGAAGCCTCGCACAAGTTACAGAGCTCGTCAACAACGAACCGAAATGGTGGACAGGTTTTGACGGGTCACTACCCAGCAGGATCCTTGATTATATGTACCTCGGCAACCTTACCCATGCAAACAATCCAGATCTACTTCGGGTGATGGGTATCGGCCAGATCCTGAGTGTGGGTGAGCTGGCCATGTGGCGGGACGGGGAGTTGCAGGAGTGGGGGGAGGAAAACACGTGTATTGTGCGAGGAGTGCAGGATAACGGGATCGATCCGTTGACCGATGAGTTTGAGCGGTGCTTGGAGTTCATTGGTGCGTTATTTCTTTCTTCATTTATCCCGCCCCATTTATTTCTAAAGTCCCCTTCCCCCACGGCAATCACTCGATGACTGACAAACGTCTCGTAGACCGTGGCCGTCGCCTCGGAACAGCGACTTTGGTCCACTGCCGTGTTGGTGTGTCCCGCTCCGCCACTATCTGCATCGCCGAAGTGATGCGTTCCATGGGAATGTCCTTCCCGCGAGCATACTGCTTTGTCCGCGCTCGGCGGCTCAACGTCATTATCCAGCCTCACCTCAGGTTCGCTTACGAGCTGCTCAAATGGGAGGAACTGCTTCGTTCTCATCAAGAGAGCAAGGACCACGGCAACTACACACTGACGGCCGATGGCAAGGAGGATGACGAGTCGTCCTCTGATGGCCAAGGCATCAAACGAGAGCTCGAATGGGGTGAAATTGCCAGGGAGGTCGCCTTCATGAATAAGCCTTACTCGAGCTCGAGATAAAGGGCGATACAATGGCTGAACAGGGTACACTCGCAACTCCCAGGCGATCAGGTCGGCTCACGATACACGCCCTTGGTTCAGTGAAGGGGTAGGAAGTCGCAAGTTCCTTCCCCCGTTTGAAGGTTGTGCTGGCGTAAGCCGTCCTCGACTGATGTTTGGTTCTTCATTGTCCTTTTTCCTCCTTGCAGAGTTGGGGAGTTTCTGTTCAATTACCAGCTTCAAACATTTACCACGGCTGGTCCTTCTTTACTTGTACCTGTATCGTTTTTTCCCTTTCCTTGCACTTTTACCGTTTCATTGTTATTTTCGGCGACATGGCTTCTGCGCTTGGAAGAACAGAACCACCCGAAAGAGAAGGAGCAACATGACATACCTCGGGTCGAATTAGTGTCGGATTGGGTTGGGTTGTCAAGGGTGTATGCATAGTATCCCAGTGAAAGGGATGAGCTGGAACGGAAACAGAAGGAAGAAAATTTCCCTTGATGGGGGACGTTCAGAAGATGACGTCTGGCAAAACCAACACTCGGAGAAGCCTCCGTCTAGCCTCGGCCCTCATGGCCCAGCAAGAAGACATTTCTTTGATACCCTACACACAATATTACTTGCTCTTTTACACGTGCTCACGTACCTGCTCCTCAGTTCGGTGCCGCATCCGCTTGTTCCGTCTGCACTTTTTTTTTACAAGTTTGTTTCTTTGCTCATTCAGTCGGTTACTTGTCGTAATCCTTGAGACCTATCAGTACGAAACGTCCATTTCGAGAAGCCACGATGCGCGTGCAAAGGAAGGTGGGGAAGAGGAGAGAGAAGAGGCCGAACACAGGGAGGGAAAGTGCGAGCTGGAAGCGGGGGTATCTACTGGAGCGGAAATTTTTGATGGATCCGTCACCTTCCAAACTCAACTTGTTCTCCCCTTGCAACCACCATCATCACCACACAGCGACTCTCGACTGCGATTGCATGCTAGGTTCGGATCGAAGCTGATTTTTTATTTTATTTTTGCGCTACGGATTAGACTGTCTCGACGATAGCGACGACGACAACAACGACAACAATGAAGGCGGAAGTGAAGACGGCGACGGCGACAGCTGCGATGCAAGGAGTGGAGGTGGTAGTGGACCAGCGTATGGGCCTTTGCAAGTGGAGTCAGCTACTTATTAGGTATCTCGGGTATGTCTACTAAATCGCACATCTCTCCTATGGCAAAAACCGGAAGCTGATCCACGGTGATAGACGAACCAGCACTGGGCTATACAGCCCTGGCAGCAGATCAAATTGATCTTCCTTGGCCATCAAGATGGCCAAAAGGGTGCACAATTTTATCACGATGCCGTCCCACGACAGCGTCCTGTGTGCCGGTTGGCTGTCCGGTCTCCAGAGGATTTGCAGCGGCTGAAGATCTTGCATGATCTCATCAGGGCCCCCACCATGATCTCCCCGTCCCGTCCGGTCGTTCCTCAACTCAACACCTGCCAAATCGACGACGACATGGTCTACTGCTGTTTGGGAGGGAAGGGCTTGCCGAATGGGGATTTCCGCTTTCCCATTTCAGCTTGCCCACTCCAGGCCCATTAGACCGCAAATGTCTTGCCGGCATGAACCCAAGAGACCCGAATATCGAGGATCGACACGATAACTTCATTCAATGCTCCAACAATAACCTAAAGACTCTTCCTAGCACTTGAGCTGGATCACAGATCCATCGATGATCGACCAATGGTATTCAACTTTAGCTGGTTTTCTTGACACTCCTCAAGTGATTCTACCTGCCGGGGTTGTCTGGTTTGCGGCTCAAGCGGTGGATATGTTGCCAAACTCGAAGATTCGTAATGGTGTCATACACAGGAGAAGCATTTTGGTTCCGCATCAGTACCAAGATATATAGACCTCGCTGTCACTCCCTCCTGCTTGGTGTTCTGCATCTCATCTCCGTCCTTAATTCATCATATGCGCCCACATTCCAAACCACTCTTCTCCTCAAGTTAAGATATTGCTCGCCTCAACAACAAAATGGCTTTCTACAACAGCTGCCGAGACGTCCAACTCGATGGATCCACACTCACGGCTAATTGTCAGGACAGCAACGGCTACTGGGGATCATGGTCTAGCATCGATCTCAACCAATATATCGGCAACAGGGAGGGATACTTTGACACAAGCATTGAAAGATTCTATGAGACTGCTAGGAATGTCTATCTTACAGGCTCAGTCCTCCATGCGTCTATGCAGGACAGTTATCAGTACTACCAGGACGAGCAAACAATTGACCTCAACCTCTTCATTACCAACGATAATGGACAGCTCAAATTCAAGCAGTACATGTGAGTGGCCCACTCTACCACCCTCACCCGGCACGCATCTCGTACACCTGAGCTCTTTTTTAGACAACATTTCATGCTGACTTAGTTGACTGCACAGGCACGAATCCATTCTCAAGACGGGCACCTTCTACCATCTCGAGGGCAGCGTCCTGCGCGGTCTCGTCCTCGGCTACAATGGCAAGTTCAACGTGACCGAGATCGACCTCAACGATCACTACGCCAACAACAATGGCTCTTTTCAGTCGGACGACAACCACTTTTACCACTCGGCCCAGAAGCTGAAGCTCGAGCCGTCGCCCGGCGCTCTTACCCTCAAGGCCGAGCTGAGGAACTGGAACAAGCAATGGCAGCCTGCCGAAGTTAACCTGGCCATCTGCATCATGAACAACAATGGCAGTTTTCAGTTTGTTAGACAGTGAGTAGAGCTTCTTAAGAAGATGAAGAAAAAAAGAAGAAAAAAACACACTAACACCACGAAACAAACAGCGACGGCTTCTGGGACCGCGACGGGTGGTTCGCCAAGACCTTTGAAGGCGTGCCCCTAATCGGCTTCGCCATCGCGGGCGTGCACGCCGCGGCCGGCAACTACGAGCACGCCGCCCGCGCGCTGGCCAAGTGCGCCAACAGCTCCGTGGTCTGCGTTGGCGTCGTCATCGGCTTCATGCTGGGCGAGACGCTCGGGTCCGTTATCGGCGCCGGCATCGCCACGCCCATCGGCATCTGGATCGAGACCGAGATCAAGGAGCACCTGATTGAGGACCCCATGCTGCTGGCCGAGTTTGAGGAGGCCACCCTCGGTCGCTACATTGGCGAGACCCTGGTGAACATGGGCATGGCGGCCATTCCTGGCGATCCCATCGCCGACATGACCAGCCGCGTCGGGAACGAGGCCCTCAAGAAGACATTCCAGAAGGCGTTGACGAATTATACTAGGCAGGTGGTGGCTGGTATGAGGTCCTCGGTTGCGCCGACGGAGATTGAGGAGAAGGTCAAGATTTTGTTGTCTGGGTATGTTTTCTTTTTCTCCTTGACCCGGTCTTTACTTGTGATGAAGATATGTGGTCGTTAACAAGTTGAATAGTATCGGTGACTTGATCAAGGGCGAGCCGCCCGCCAGCTGGACAGAGGCTGAGGGAAAGGTTAAGAGCGTCTTGAAGAGCAGGGGCGCTGAGTTGACGAATGTTCCGCCCATGGTTAAGTTTAAGATTTGAGGGAGTTAACTCACTCAATGAGCGGAGTGTGTGTTCGGAGTTATCGGCTTGCTTTCTTGTGTTACATAAGGCAGCATATGGAAGGATAAAGGAGTATTTATATGCATATGTAGTATGGGTAAGGCGTAGGACTAAGGTGGGATATGGTTGATGATGTATGAATGACGATGATGATCAAAGTCCCAATGCATACCTACCTGCCTAATCTTTGCAAGACATGTGATCTTGAGAGATGGATGTTGATGTAGGCTGTTTGGCTTTCAATTGTCCTGGAGGACGATGACGATGACTCGAACAAGATCCATTCTCATTCCTCATTCCGGTCAGGGAAGCAGGAGAACACAACCTCAAGTATTTAAGGTGCCTTGGACAGGTTTGAAGAAGTAATCACAGCTGGGTCTGAGGAAACAGTGATTGAGCGATGGATGGATCTAGACTCAAGCTGACAAACCATCGGATCAAGCCCAAATCGACCTCTCAGACACTCGGGCTTGGAGGTCGCGGATGACGCCTGACGGGATAGCGGTGTCACTCACTTGAGTGCTAGCCGTACCATCACCGGGCATCCTATTCCGTCGCTAATGATCTCATCACTCCTTCTGTCTTCCCCCATTGACTTCCAACCCACGTCCATCTGAGAATTGAGAAGGCACGGCAGACCCACCTTCTGTCAATATTACCGTGACAGACAAGCATCCCACCCGCGGGCAACGATCGGACTCGACGGGCCAGAGGCCTCTCGTCTGGTACAATCCTCGAAGGTGCGCGTTCAAATTCTTTTCTACCTAGTGCTGACGGGCAGTGACGGGCAGTGTTGAGGGTGGGTCAATCGGGTTGGGGACGAAAGGCCATGCCTAAGTGGACTTGGAGTTCTGGAAGTTTTGGGTTTGCAGATCTTTTTCCCCTTTGCTCCATACACTACCAAATTCTCGTTCACGCCAATAGAAGCAGAGAAGAGCAAGACAGACAGAGGCGGGCCATCCCGCTACCGCCCAAATAGGTACCTAGCGTTCGGCCAAAGGCGCACTGTACCATCTGCAACCATCTGCAACCACCTGCGCCATGATGCCTCTCTGTTCCTTCACCCGACATCCGACTTCATGACTTAACGAACGACCAACAATGTGCACGGAAGCACGTAGCTACCTATTTGGGATAAGTCAGTTTCCACAACTAAAAGATAACAACAAGGCCAAACGGCACAGCCCGCAATAGCTTCAAGTTTGGAATCCACTTCGTCAGTGTTACCATTGGTAAGGTAGACCTCGAGGCAGCTCACGGGGCTTTTTTTCCGTTGCATGTAATGTAGCGGCCGACGCCTCCTTTCGTGCATTGGATGAAAGCTTCAATGGGAAAATCGGGATACAAATGAGGAGTGAGGGAACCCTTCTAAGTTCTCTCTGTTCTTCTCAGACGCAGATGTGGCACAAATAACTATAGTTTCATCGTCGCACCAACCGGCCACTCACTCACTTTGATCATCCTTCCATCCCCCCATAGTGGCCTTCAAACACAAACTTCCTTTTGCTTTGTTTTTTTTCCCGTCCAGCCCGACACCACAAACACCACCTACTTACTGTCAACATGCCCGTCAACATGCCTGACTCGCCTGATGACATCGAAATCCATGACTGCGGCACCGTTTTCCGCCGAGCCTCACCGGCCCTGTATCAAAGGGCCATCGACCCGCGCTGGTCCTTCAGGAAGACCGAATTCTACGTCTTCAGGGAGGAGCAGCAGCAGCAGCAGTCAGGTCCAGAAGGAGAAGATCCCCAAACTGAACTGGTCGTGGACCAATCCCAAGAATGGTACGACGTTCAGGTGCAGTACTGGGAGCGAGAGAGGCAGCGACGGGAACAGCAGCAGCAGGCAAACCAACAAGAACAAGAATCAAAAACGGAAACAGAACCGGTGGTTGCCGAAGGGCTATCTTCCGAAGAGAAGCAGCCCGAGGTCAACGAGCCCAAGCCCTTCGACACGCTGGAATTCAAGTTCCAGGTGGACGGTGTGGGTGTAGCAGAAGGCTTCATCAAACCAGAGTGCTAC